TGTAACATGAACAAAATGGACTCTCAACTCCAACATTCTTCATGCGTAGATGTTCACCATTTAATTTGGCTAGCAGCTCTTTATTTCAAGTGACACTTCATACTGTGTTAAAAATGTCTTATTTTCATGCATTAAACAAGAAACTTAGGATATCAGGATAAAGTAATTGGAATCCAATCTGTGTTTAATAATATTCTGTTTCTTACTTGACATGCTGGAAGCTAGCTACTGTTTTAATCAGTCATTCAGCTGATTATTTGACTAGGTTTTTCAACTCATGTATACTGATCAAGGGTGGAGCGATCGATGCCTTCTGTCACCTGAAACCTGTACTCCTGGGTTATAACTGCCCTGCATGCCCCTCCCCCCCCAGTCCTTTGATGCCCCCGGCTGTGGGTGGGCCGCCCCTAGTTCCGCACTGCCTGGGTCGCCGTGGCCTTCTTCCCGCTTCCACTGGGAAATACCTGCCATCTTCGGGGAATTAGGGGCCTGGAGAGTGACGTGAGCTTCCAGGAGACCTTTCACTGGGCAGGAAGCGGATGGGCTGCATTTCCCGCCGTAGGAAGTGCATTAAGGACCCGAGACTTTGCCGAGAGTGCGGCTTGAGAGCTTCCAGGCGGCACTTATGGCCTCAGCTCTGCTTTTTCAGCCCCGCCACTGTGCCATGTCGTCTTCCCGGGTTTCACCGTCAGGGTTCTTTTCATTAGTCAAGCCCCGGGTTCCTGTGCTAATGTCCCATCTCCTGTCATCTCGCTGTACACACGACACCTCCCAGACAAATCGTCATACCTCAAGAACTTGTGGTCTTGGCACAATACCAGAACAGTGACTCTCCCACATGGTGGGGAGCCTTGTTCGGGTAAAAATAAGTCAATCTTCCAGCAGTTTAACCCTATTATCTGCACTACTCGCTATCCTCATGGGGCCAACTCAGGACCCAAAGCTGGCTCTAACTGGGATGGCAAGACTGCAGTCCTCCTGGCCTTTCAACAATAGACTGTCTCCTGGGTTAATCCGGCCTCAAACGACCCCTGGGAGCCTCTTGCAGCCTTTCGCGGAGACAGCCTCTTCCTGTTTAGTATTCAAAAAAAAACTTTTTCCAGTTGCGTCGGCCAACAGAATTTGCTGGGGGGGGGGGGGGGGGGGGGGGGGGGTGGTAAAGGTATTCTTCTCTGTGCTTCAGATGGACTGTGTTGACCTTTGCCCTAAATAGCCACTGACACCTATTAGAAGTTAAAACACACGTTCCACATAACGTTCCCGTGACTTACAGGCTCCTGGCGGCCCCTGCTCTCTGCAATGGAAACCAAACAAACATTATGCATGCAGCAGTACAATAAGAGATTGTCAAAGGCCTCCTTTCTGCAACAGGCCCTGTTCTTCCTGCTGTTAGTGATGGCAGGTGCATAACACCCCAAAATGACCCCCACCCCTATAAAATCCAACTTCGTTGCAACTTTGTGCTTTTCCTTCTTGAGTTTTTTTTTTTTCTTTTTTTTTTTACATTTTTAAAAATATGCTCATAGTGTTTTTCAGCAGATATTTTGGTAATGTCAAGTACATTTGTCACTTTTCTCGTCATCGGTAAGAACAGACGCTTGAACGTGTGAGCGTTATTAATTTGCTGACGTGAACAGGAACGTGTCATCCTCGTGCCGCGCTCTCCCGCAGACATTCGCAGCGCCCCTTCCCCCGTCCTCCCGGGCGCTCGCTCTTGTTCAGTTTGCGGGCTGGCCAGCAGATGGCACTCCGATTCTCAATCGGGAAACAAGAAGTAAAAGGAGGTGTCTTCATTTCCTCTCACAAAAGAAATGTCAAGGTAATTTTGATCACAGTATATTTTTTTTCCACAGTCTCCCGGAAGAACACAAAGTAACCTTACATATCAGGGGTGCTGCAAGTGTCTGCAGTAACACCATATATGGCACTGTTGTATATTTCTGAATAAAAAATCCTTCACATATCTACTGCATATTCAGAATTAAAAACCAGTTCTGTATGTTTAAATATATTTAATTCATCTTTTAGTTTAAAGGTAGAGAAATGCAGGAGTGATTAAATTTTATATTTCTGTTAGATCAAATCGCTCCACATGCATTGACCTCCAGCTGCACTGTGATTGGTCTTCCTGTAGAGTGGTTCAGGTTTCATCCATCATGAGACTGTTGTCAGTTTAGCACAGGATGCCCAATGAGTGTTTATATCTCCTAATCATCTGCATTGTCTGTTCCTCAAGAATCCACCTATAGTGTGCGTATGTTCAACCCCAACACATCCCATCTTCTGAGACTATATACCCTTTGTTTCAAGTGGTGTTACCTCCAGTCCTACCCTGTTCCTCCCTAAAGCTGAGATTTTGTAAGTGGGTATAGAATATGGATGGATGTCGTACAGTTGTAGTCACATCCAGAGCAGACAAGTCCTTGTACCATCCATTTGTGGACCTCCTCTTAGAGGTCACTGAACTTGGGACACAGTGCAATATGTGGGCCAGTTTGCTCACAGAAACACGACATGTGCGTCAGCTCAGGGTTCCCAATCCACCAGAACTTTCTCTGGGTTGTTAGAGAGGGGCCCAGGCGGTCGCCATGACGACACGCAGACTCACAGATGCGCAGCAGACCAGGCCTGGCCCGGCCCATACGCGTATACAGGTGTACCAACTGTTCCCCCCCCCACCCCCCGCCCCCATCCACACATGGAACGTCTGCAGCAACACAGTAAAATAAATGTGATGGTATTCAGGAAGACAGAGCGCAGGATTAGCGTAGCCCTGGCTACGGCTCGAGCCGGGGGGAGGGGGGGGGTATTCGTCAGAGGCATTTTCCATGGTAATTCTTCCATCTTTATGGCGAGCACTGCAGTAGCCTGACACATAAGAGACCAGCAGAGTGGATCCTCCAGGAAAATGCCAAGTAAGGGAATCTTGTGAATGGGAGGGGGGGGAGTAAATGTGGGGTGATGCAGCAAAACAGACCTACTGGTGTTTATCTTAGATCTGATTTTGGGCCCTATGAGAGCATTTCATACTAAGCCCCCAAGACAGACCACTCCAATCATGTTCTGAACTTTGGAATCATCCTAACCCACCCCCTCCCCCATTAACAGTGCCCCTACTCACAAAGAAGGATTTTATAGTTGATATTTCTGCTCACTGTTTTCTAATTGATGGTGAAGTTGTCACCATGTCTCAGACTGAGCGTGTGATGGTGACACAGCCCAGGTCACAGCGTGTTGGACGCTCCACTGTCTCGGGCATACTGCTTTGCCCCAACTCTGCTTTGGGCTGCTGTCTCTGCCCTGATCATCCACGTCCTCTCTGCCTGAGCTGCAGACTAGGATAGTCTGTCTCACACTGTTTCCTCTCCAGTTTCAGTTTGAATGAAGCGCTCAGTAATCTTTTCAATGTGAGGTCCTGTCGAGGGCCAGGGAAATCTGTTAGGGATATCCGAATACTTAAAAAACAAAAGCTCGATGAAACTATTTGGGAGCAGGTGGGCTTATGGTGGATGGGGATCTGATTTAACGGCCGAAAAATCGTTAGTTTGCAGCATCCGGTTTACGCAGAACAGTGAATTATGGGTGCATTATACAATGACAAGCTGACCGGGTATGGTAGCATATAGTGCTGACATTAAAAATGATACTGCAATAGTGATGTTTTGCAAAACAATATGGGGATTTCTGTGCCACTTTCTAAAACCTGAATGAAGACGTTAGAAAAATTGATGTTTCACCGTGCCTGATACTTTAATGCGCATTTTAAGCGCATGGCAAAGGAAACTTTACCCTCTCCGTACAGAACAAAGACCTTGGATCAGCGTGAGTGGCGTGTATTGATCAGTCTGAAAAGTCTCCCCTTTGCTCCACTCATTCCTCACCCCCTTTCGGAAAAAGAGGACACTTCTGTATTCTTATTAATCTTCTCGGCAAAAGCTCGTTCTGTGACACCCGTGTTTTGGCGAAACGTCTGAGATTTACAACATACTGAAAACCGAATAAACTGGGGAGACGCTTATCCTCGCATGCTGGGTGCTGGATCAGACAGTCAACATTGGCAACATTTAAATGTAGCCGGCACAGAGAGTTTGTGCAATGCTTTGCTTCGAGCCTGATAGATTCCGCTGTCCAAATTTGCATTTTATTTTCCCGACAAATATTGATTCTGTAGCTGGACTCGGCATTTTATAAACAGCCGGGAACGTATTCACGGCGGGATTCACTGCGGTTACTGTTCTCGGGTTTTGTTTTATTTAGTTTTTTTTGTCCTATTTGCTTTTCTTTCAACTTTGTTAATATTTTATCAGTCTTTATTTAAAGATTACATGTTCTTCGGACTTATAAAGACGTAGGGGTTAAATCAGCGTGTAACAGGAACAGAGAATCCTGCCGAAGCATGACCTCGAGATTTATGCTTTTAATTAAATTTCCAGGACAAACAGCGCGGGTTAATTTCGAATGTTTTTATGGCCAGTCGTCTTGACACCGAGATCCAGCAGAACTACAATCAGGGCTAACCTCTTCTAATTTGGGTGAAAAAAGAATGGAAATGTATCAGGAATGAAGGAAAAATAAAACTTAGGGCAGAGTTTCTCCGTTAGTAAAAGTAGATGGTTTCTGCTAATTCGGAGTGTTTGTCGCTGTTAAATATTCTTGTCTCAGAACGCTGCATTGGAATAGTTAATTTATTTGTAACTTTAATTTACATCGGAATTAGTTGCTATGGTGGATGGTATTCGTGGCCCCACCTCCACCCCGTTCCTCTGCACGAGAGAGGTTGTGAATCCTTGAGCTGTTCTGGGTTTCTCTGAAAAGTAGCACGTGGGGCACAGCCACAGGAAAGAGGGGTTTAGCCGCAGGAGAGAGGCTGGCTTGGGCATCTGTGGCACCTCCATTATGATCCAATTAGAATTTACCAGCTGCTGGTGTGAGGAAATGCTAATAAAATAAAGACTGATAATACACCCGCTTGTGTGTTAATGTGTACTTTAACAGCACAGGGAGCTTTTATAAGAATCCTAAGTTAGTTCCTATTCTTATTGTTGATGGTTGACTTATGGGATGTTGTGATCAGCTGATGTTAAAGCTGCAATTATGTGGCTACCCTTTTGGGATCACAAACGGCCAGCGTCGGACATTGAACCGGTCAGGGCACAGTGCCACAGATGTACCAGAATAAGAGGAGAACAGCTCCGCGCCGAAGCGAACCACCGCAGTATGGCGCAGTTTGTGTCTCCAGGTGGACATGGGGCCATGGCGGTAGGAAATAATGGGAACTTTATCTCTACGATCATTTTGCCGTTTCCGTTTGATCAGTCTGTTACGTCACCTTTTTCGAATGTGAGGTTGCCTGTGCACGTAACGTAAAATATCGGGGTAAAGGCTGTCACTTAAGGTTCGCACTCATCTACTGATTCTTGCCGTGCATTTTTTTTAGCAGGATCCATCTGCCATGCAACATTCTAGTGCTTCATGCAACAAAAAAGTCTGAGACTCTTTGTCACAAATGAATAACAAAAGAAAAAAAAAATGGATTTCTGAGAGAACATGCTCTACATATAAATCAGCCCGAGATGTAATTCCAGTTCCAAAAAAAAAAACAATGTGTGGGAAGAAATATTTATTTGAACAGAACTGAACAGAAATAAGAGGGTCCGTCTTTGCTACAGTGCTTGTGTCATCCCATGCTAGCGCACATTGATCAGAGAGCCCCGCGGTGTCCCATGTGACCTGGCGCGGAGCATGCCAAACCAGTGGCCTAATAAGTGGTAACAGATGATGTGGGGGATTCTGGCGTTCTGATAGCAGCAAAGACTGGAAATGGTTTTGGGGGTGGGTGGGGGTCAGTGGGGGTGTCGAGGTGGGTGTGGGATGCCGGTGTAGTTAAAAAATGGGATTATTATCCTAATAGTTTGCAGTCAGAGGGGAGTTAAATCTTTAATAGCTAAGTGGGGGGAGGGGGCAGTGTAATTGTCCTTTCAGATCCCAAACTCGAGTGGGTAACCTGAAGTGGGTAACTCTTGATTATTTTATTTTGCCCTGATTTTTATTGAATCAGAGGGTGTATCGTTGTGAGGCACAAGCTCAGAGGGTGAGAGCATGTGATGCATCAGACAAATGAGATGCCGGTGTAGTTTACTTGGCCCATCCCCAGCTCAGGCATAAAACACAAAATGTCCCGAGGATGGGCCCAAGATGAACGCCTACATTGATTCTACAGCCAAAATGGGAGGGGTGATTTGTTATTTTGATGGATAGATGAAACGGCTAGAGCTGTGCATGGATATTAACGGCGAAAACTCATTGCGTTAAATTTGCTGTGAGTTGTGCCTGGAAAATGGACGTTCAGCTGAGCGTTTTTGATTATGGAGAAAGACCCTTGCTCGGGCACCTCAGAGGACTGAGCCAGTGACACCAAACCATCTGACAAGGGGGGAGTAGGGGGGGAGAGCATATGCCGCCTTGGGGCTCTCTATGGCCTGGTGGCTGGCATCTTTGTGGGCACATGGGGCAGACCCACCGGCTGCTCCCGCGTCTGCTCCTGATGCGAGGCTCCAGTAAGTCCAAGCTGATGACCTTGCCTCCTGAAGCTCACTTGGAACCGGCCAAGGTCAGGAGATACTCGCATCCCACTCAGAACGGTATGCTGGCACAAATATGTCAGCAGAGGGATAACAGGTAGACAATACCAGCTTCTTCAGCTGCTTCAGTGAAATACCAGCTCTGTGAATGGATAAAATAGATAAAAGCCTCTCTTAGGTCAGCACAATGCATTAAAACGTGTAGCTTAAAGTGACCAGGGGATATATTCTGCAATGGTTCTCAGACGATTGAGAAAACCTTGGGAAGACAATAGGGGTCAATGCTGGATCAGTGAATCATCTCCACAGACCATAACAGCCTTTCCTTAAGCCCCAAAGGCCAGATCGCATCATCAGTATTCATGAGAGACCGTTGAGGACAATTCCTTCGCTATTAGCTGAACTTCTTGTTGGAATTTGCGGTTGCCTAGGCTAAGGTAATTTTGCGTAGGGTCGCCCTTGTCCACCAGTTATGAATGAGATGCCTTCATATTTCCTCTTCAGCTGGGAGACATGCAATAACTGTCTGTCTTATTTATGGCAATGCCGAGCTCACTATGCATGGCTGGGGATTTGTGAATTTATTTATACGAAGTCGCCACATGCCCTGTTTCTCTATGGTTCTAGAAAGGTCATGGAAAGACCTCTTTCCCTTCTTCTCGTTGGCATCCGGTGTTACGCTGGGAAAAATCACATACGGAACGCACTTCCTGTCACGTAAGAGGTTTGGCACAACGAGGGCACGGAGTTCTGATAATCAAATGTGCGGCGATAGAGCTGCCCTCCCTCGATTTGTCGGGAGGTGGGGGGGGGGGCGGATAATGAAATTTCAGGACTTAGCGCCAAGGTCTCGGAGATCGCCGGCCAATTATGGTTATCTATACATTTCATTTCGATTATGACTCTCAGCCTTTTTTCTCCAAAAGTGAGTGACAGCCTCGTGCAAAATAAAATTGCCCCCGCGCCTCCGGCGGAGCAGCGTGGAGCAGAGAACGTGGCCACCGAGTTATTGAGTGGATTGTTTACTACGGGCAGGGAAGTATGCGTCTGACCGAACTGAAGCTTATTGGCTGGGGACCAAAGCACATAATACTTCTTCCTAGATCAACAGGAAAATGCTGGGGGAAACTGACTGCCTGAGATAATGGGAGATAAAGAGATTACTTTGCAGAGAACTACAGGTTTGCAGCATCGAGAAACCCTTTGAATTGAATTAAAAACCAGACGCCCCAACTAAATGGGTTGTACAGTGATACATGTAATGAAGAGCAAAACAGATATGCTTGTGGTGTGTTTGGGGTTTGGCTGGACTATTGGGGCCCCGCAGCTCATGCCTTTACTTCCTGTGGGTCCTTCATTGTTACTTCAGTCCATTCACACCTTAACTGGCGACCACACGTTGGATGAGCGTGTCGGTATATCAGTGGGTATGTATGGATCTGATTCCATCAATCAGAAATTCAGCCTTCCAAGACTTGGGTGGCAAAACATGTCCCAATCTCTGTCCCTGAGGAAATGTTTTTATTGAAATTCCTACCTGATACCTTTATGTCACGGAGACCAAAACAGAGGAATGGGTAGCAGTGCCTCACATTTCCTGTTCAGTAGTGGCTGTTAATAGGCACGTGGGCCGGGAGTGGGGGGAGGGGGGGCCATGGGACTTGTTGTGGTTGTAGGTGAGGTTCCTGGCCATTTGCATGTGCAGGGGGGCCGCAGGTGGGTTTCAGGACCTTATGTTGAATTGATACCCCTAAGTGTGCGTGTGCATTTCCCCTGGTGGACTGATATTCCACCTGAGGGTTAGCCTTCAGGCTAGCTGTGATACCATGTAGCATAAGCTGGTAAATTCACTGCACAGAATAAAATAATCAAAAATTGGGTCAGATATTTTTACCTGTTTTTATTGGCTATCTACCATGGGTGTAGCACAGGTGTTTCAGCAGTAGGCCGTCATCAGTTAATCACCTGAGAAGGTAGAGCGCTGTGTTTAGCGGCCAGGACACAAGGTAAGGGGATGGGTCTCGAAGGATGTGCGTTTTTTTCCTTTCAGTGCTCCTCACCTTCTCTTTTCTGCTAATATTTCATGCGACCATTTCTCTGCAAACATGACGCGCCCATCACCACGAACACCAGAGGCGTGCTGTTTAATAATCCGAATGACACCACTTTCAGAGGAACTCGGCGGAATACATTACACCCATCTGGTGATTAGCTGAGCACTTCAGCTCCGGCGAGAGCAAAATTTATCTTTGGGGTTGTGCGCTTCTATATATAACTGTCTGGCAGCTCAGTGATGTATTCCCAGGCGCTGTCAATCCATCAGCGAAACAAGGAAGTGGTATTTTGGGTGGAATCCGCAAAGTTCACTCTAATATTGTTACTTTCTGCCCCATTATTTCTCCCGCCATTTGATGAGCGTTTTGCCTTTTGTTTGAAAGACACCGCAACTCCACCCAGATTCCCCTCCCAATAACCTGCCCCCCCCCCCCTCCCCAGTGATTCTTTTCCTGTGACGGCCTCACCCCAGATTTATGTATTTTATTTCCCACAGTCGGACACCCCCCCCTTTTTTTTTTTTTTTTTTTACCAAATTCTACAGGTGTCACATGACCTGGTAACGTGTGAGTCTGAGACAGCCCAGTCTTGGATCTCTCTCACATTGTTCCGCGGAAGGACCGAACAAAGAGCGACATAGTTTTCAGCGAGGAAAGGAAGGTAGGGATGAAAATAAAAACATGATCCAGGCCAACTGTAAAAAAAAAAAACATGGCCAATCTGACTTGCTTCTGCAGGGGTACAACCGACTGACTATTAATGAAGCCTTGCGCCTGATAGAATCTGAATATGGACAGATTTCTTTCGAAATTATGCAGCCTACCAGCATAGTCTGTTATTTCGGTCCCATGCGTGTCTCGCCTCCCAGAGATGGCTTGCGTGCCTAAACGGCGAAAATATGGCCGTTGTATACAGCATACGCCACCCGCTACTGGGCACCCGTGCCTCGCGTGTTGTCATCCAGTTTGCCAGCGCTGTTTACAGGATGTCGTGGGCGTCCCCATCTGACTGTGTATCACAGGTTTGGGCTTGGAACGCGGAGCCCATTGTTTACACAAAAGCGAGAAGCTATCCGGTCGATTAGCGCCGGTGCCACTCGGATGCTAATGCCAGGGATTGCTTGGGACTCTTAGAAAAATGCTTCAACAGTCAGAATAATGCATTGGGAAGGGGGTGGGCTGTATGTACAAAGCATGCATGGGCCCCACTCCCAGATCCAAAGCATTGAACTGACCCTATGGAGCAACTCGAAATAGCTAAATCGGTAAACCTGATTGTCAGCTGGGGTCTGTTGATGAATGACCTCCCCTTTCTTATAGCACTTGCACTTGAAACCCACTAGAGTGAAACCAAAAAACACTCAGTTATTGCTTCACTTTTTTGAGGGGGGTCTGCAAGGGAGACATCCCTCACTGAGGACCCCCGCAGCCCCCACTCGGAGGCCCTCACGCCCCACTGGCCCACACGCACACCGGAGCCCCCACAAACAAATGGGCACTTTTTAATGAGACGCTGTATCATTAAGACGATAAAGAGTGCAATCACATTTGCATGGGCTATTAATGAAGACTAATGACGCCGAGATTTCATTTTCGCCTGTCTGCTAACCATGGGGTTAATCTG